TTTATCCTTCCCCCTCTTTCCCCTTTGGTAACCATAAGTTTGTTTTCTATGGATGTGTGTCTGTTTTTGTCTTGTAAATAAGTTCACTTGTGTCATTTTTTAAGATTCCACATATAAGTGATACCATATGATATCTGTCTTTCTGTATCTGACTTACTTCACTTGGTATGATCATCTCTAGGTCCATCCATGTTGCTACCAGTGTCAATATTTCATTCTTTTTTATGGCTGAATAGTGTTCCATTGTGTATTTATACGGCATCTTCTTTATCCAATTATCTGTCGATTCTTACTCAACATCTCTAGGCAAACTATGGTTCCATCAAGTCAGACCCCTCATTCCAGAACACTTCATGCACTTTTCTTTAGGGTGTCACATTGCATGATTTTTCCTGCCCATGGAACGTTCTTCCTGCCATCTTGGCTTGCCAAAATTCTACTCTCCCTTATGACCCAGTGAAAATGCTTCCAACATTCTCAAATTCTTTTGTACATCTTTCTTGTTTAAATGAATTGTTCCCTCCTGTCTCCCTGCACTGCACCTTGTTTATTCTATTAAACTTGCCCAGGAAGGCATCTGGGTGAAAAGCCCAAATCTGAAGGCTGCCTACTGAGCTTCAGCCCAGACTCTACCACTGACTGGCCTTGTGAACTTGAGCAAATTACTTTTTTCTTTCCCAGTTTCCTTATCTGTAGAATAGGAATAATAGACTCAAATCATAGCAGTGCTATGACAATTAAATGACCTTATTGTCTGATACATCTGAAGTGCTCTATGAGCATTTCTTCAGTTTAAAAAAATAGCAGGCAAGGCAGTGGAAGAGCCGTGATACCTTAAATCACTGATAAGTGGTTCTCAAGGTGTGGTCCAGCAGCACCACCTCCCTCACCTGGTAGCTGGTTAGAAATACAGATTATCAGGTCTCACCCCAGACCAACTGAATCAGAAACACTGAGCATGGACTCCATATTGTGTGTTTTAACCAGCTCTCTGGGCAATGCTGATGCCCAGTCAAGTTTGAGAACCACCCTACAGCTGCTCTCAAAGATGCTTTTCAGTTCTCACCACCTAGGGATTGATGACAGTCCTCCAGTTCACTGCATCGAACCCTAGAAATACCCCATTGAGGTCAATTCTCAAAGGTTGGAGAGGGCAATGAGGAACTAGGTCAGGGAGGTGGGAGTGAAAAGGGAAGCGGAGTATCCTTTTGCAAGCAAGTAAAGAATGCAAGAAAGAAAAACGTGGTTAGAAAAAAAAGCCAAGGGTGTTCAGCACTGTCAAAACGAAAAGCATTATGGAGTATTTTAGGCATACAAAAAAGCTAACAGAATAAGTATCTGTGAGTCCAACACCCAGCTTAAGATGTAAATAATTACTACATATACCTAAAATAGATTTGTAAAGGGGTCAAAGAATCTAATGCATTTAAAATGTTTCCTGGCTGTTAAAAATTTAATAAAAAAGCACAGCACAGAACTTGACACAATAAACATCCACTCCCTTCTGTTCCTTTCTTTGCAAAATGTGTAAACAAGCTCCCTGGCAGTGGGGACTTCCAGACGGAAAGATGCTTTTGTGGGTACGTTTTGGGATGGTGAGATGTTACAAGTGAATAAAACAATTACTGCTGCTGTATTTTCCAAATAAAGCAATGTATTCTTAAGGGAAACTTATTTTCCCCTTTTACAAGTAAAGATCCTGTACTGAAAATGTTTTGGAAAGCTCTCAGGGAGAATTCCACAATTCAAGTACGGTATTACAGATTCTGAGGGTAGAGAATGAATGATAATTAGCTCTGCTGATTGTGAAGGTTTTTGTAATCTCATCTTTCAGTTCAAGCACGGGGGTAGCGATGGGGCATGTCATGGGAGCCGATGGAGAAATTAGGCAAATGCGTAAAATAGGCTACTTTCTATATGCTCTTCTCTTGATTTCCCTGGAATTCTTGGTTTGCAAAATAAATAACATAAAAGACTATCAGTAATAATAGTTATGTTTATTGACCAGCTTTCCAGTGAGTCATCGTGCTAAGTGCTTTACAGATACTAATCTATCTAATCTTTATAATGGCTCAGGGCAGTTGGTATTGTGAGCCACTTTTTTCAGCCAAGGAAATAAATCATCAGAAAGGTTGAGTAACTTGTCCACAGTCACGGAGTTGGAGAGTGGCAGTGCTGGGGTTCAAGTCCATGTTTTTAACCAGCGTGCCATACCTTGTATCACTCAGAGGATACTGACAAAGACTGAGGGTCCCTAGACATCTAGGCAGCAGTAGACAAAGACATGGCTCGTCCAGCCCAACCTCTTCATTTCACAGGCGAAGAAACTAAGGCTAAAATGGAGAAGGCACAGCTGCAAAGTTGGAGAGCTGAGGTTAGAATTCAGGATTCCTGAATCTCAGTTGAGTGTTTCATCATTCACTTCTTCTTTTCATGTGTCCAGAATGGAATGGATCCTCTTTGCCTCTAAGATCTGTTTGTCCAACCATATGCCAGGCCACCTGAGCAGCAGCACAATCTGCCCCAGTGTTCTCAACCCTGGCTCTGCTGCAGAGTCATTTGGGGAAGATTTTTTTTTTTAAGCACCAAACCAGAGTCTCACTCAAGAAATGTTTATATATTTTGTTCTGGAATGGAACCAGGACTCCACACAGCCTCTATTTGAACGTATTATAGGGTTATCAAAATTTACACGTACACAGCAGCTCTCATCACTTCCATCTCCTCCACCGAAAGAAACCAAAACCATGCTCAGATCCGAATTTTTCATTTCAGTGAAGGACACCACCAAGTTGCTCAGATCAGAAACTTAACCTTTATCCTTGATTCCTCTCTTTCCCTTCCATGAACATCCAATCCAACAGCCTGTGTCAGGTGCTGGGTAAATGTTTGTTAAATGAAAAAATGCAGTTACTGTGTGAGGTCCAGCGTGGGTCTTCATTTGTAAGGGTACAAATTTTTAAATCACGTACATTTTGCATGTGTGTGTGAACACATACGCACACACCTTTCTGGATGGCTTCTTCTATCCTTCCAACATGGCTCTGAGGCTCAGACCTCCCCTCCAAAAAAGATGAACTCCAGGGTCTCCAAAGAGAATCCCAATGCTCTGAGTGACACCCTGACACCATTGTGAGAAGACATGGGATGCTTTCGAGTTCTAATATTTTTTAGCTTTATTCTTCCCACCCATCTCTCCTACCTTTTTCATCACTGGCATACACACAGGTAATTTATGTGGCCCTGAGGAGAATTCTCCGCTGTGGGAAGAGCTGACAGAGAAAGGTTCTTTAAGCAATAATCGCCACCACATTTCAGTCAAACAAGCAATAAATGGCTGCCAAGATTGATTAAACAGACAAGTCAAGCAGAGGCCTCTAATCAGTCATGAGGGCTATCTGTCCGGATAATACTGCCACAAAGAGACAGCCTTTTTCTGGCTTCCCACCCACAGCCTCCTCTCAGCAGTGTGACTAGACCTCACAGACTGTGACCACCCATGTTAGGAAGAGTCGAGAGTGGCCAACAATTTAAAAGTCAGAAAGACATAGAAAGGATTTTTTTTTCCTGATGATCATAAGGTCACATAGCAGGTACAGTGCTTCAAAGTTTCAGCTTTGTATTTTTGTCTAAGAGGTAAGATTCTATAGCTGTGTTGTCAAATAAAAGTAAATATGAGCCACATATGAAACATTTTCTAGTAGTTACATTCAAAATAGTAAGAACAAGTGTGATTAATTTTAGTAATATAGTTTACTTTTCCTAATATAGCAAAATTATCATCTTCACATGTAATAAGTATAAAAGATTATTAATGAAGTATTTTACATTCTTTCTTCATGCAGCCCTTCAAACCCTATGTTCTGCTTATAGCACATCTCAATTTGGATGCTAAATTTTCAACAGTTTAAGTGAAATGTAGTCTTATCAAAACAATAGTTCTATTTAATGGAAAAATATTTTAAATTTTAACTAAAAGTAATTAAAATTAACTAAAATTAAAAAAATGTAGTTCCTTGGTTATACTATCCACATGCCACCACAGCTTAAAGCCATGGGTGACGTCTAGCCATCATGTTAGACAACATGCCTCTGGGGAGTAGAATATGGGCTTCACTCTGTTTATTGTAGTCACAGGATCGTGGAAAGTACCTAGTCCTCATTCAATGTCATTGCCTGCTTATGAGCTAATAAAATTATAGAAAATCACTAAAAGATGAAAGAAAGAGATAAAATTCAGAATAAGAAAGAAGAGCAAGTTTGTTTTCCATCTCTTAAACCGAGTTCTCATGTCTGTGAACAGAAAGAAGTGCCCTGGCACCTCCCACAATGTATCTGTGGGCACATGATGCTCAAGCAACCAGTCGGGAAAGTGCTGCCTCCTAACTCAGCTTCCTGGAGACTCACGAGACAGGTTAGCCTTACCTTTTTCATTCAAGGATCAGATATACAAAACAATCCTTGTTTCAGATTATAACCTCATCTTTGGTCTCTAACCATCTAGCTTCCTTTCTCTTTTTCTTTTTGACATCATAAGGAAGTATAAAGCCTGCGACCCGATCAAAACCCCCAAGTTTTCTAATAGTTTACAGTCTTCAGCTAAGATAGTCATCATCCCAAGTTCTACACTCATTATTCCCTTGTTTTCACTTGATACAATTTATAATCACATATAAATGATTTAATATGTGATATATAACTTATTACACATACACATATGGTCATGGTAGAGTAAGCTGTGCTATAAAAGGAAGAGTGGACTGGGAGTTTTATCTAAATTATGGAGAAGGGTTGTTCTTTTCAGTGAGTGCTTCCCCAGAACACAAAGGATGGGGATTTCTTAACCATCACTCTTTTTTGGGAACATAGAGCTCAGATAAAGATCAACATTGTCAGGCCCTCTTTTTGTTCATTGTGAATGATTATAATAGGTTCCTAAGCAAGTAAGAGACAACCGTAAAACTCATGAATGAGGTGAAGCGGGATCTAGTGAATAGTCTCTCTAGGACTCTCGTTGGTGTTATTACTGTAAAGAAAACTGAACCATCTGCTGAGAGGTGATAGCAAAGGTCAGTCGTTTGAGAATCTTGAAGTCCATGCATCTTAAATAGGAAGGCCAGAAATGAAAAAGAGAACTATTAATATAAGAGGTTTAATTAAAGCAAATAACTAGGAGTCACACCCTGTGGGTCACAAGTCTAGTGGATTCCAAGACGTTGGTGGAAGGAAAAATTTTAATTAAGCAGCACTGCTTTGGAAATAAGTGAAAATCACCCAATGACAATGGGCAGGGGCTGTTTATTCAGAACTTGCTTACAACTGGCAGAGTCTGAAACAAACAGAAGCAGGTATTCTGGCTACAAAGGAAGTCATACTCAGTAAGGACACGTGGAGATCTAGGAGAAAAAAGAGGAGTTAATCATGATGTGAGGTCAGAACCATGTCTTACGTCAGTTGGATTATATATTTAGATCTCTATTATTCTCTTCCAGATGGGAAGTATTTGGCCCATTACCCTAAGCATGTTGTGTAAATAAAATTTAGAATCAGATAGGATGTGATCAATAGAATGTAATAACGGTTCTTTTTTTTGGAGAGATGGACACTGGTAAAGCCATTTACCAGTTGATTTGTTTAGTGTCATTTTTCCATGTGGGTCCAAGTAGAAACACCATCAGCTGTAGTTCCGTATGGTCTCATTGGATGAAAATGGAGTTGCCGAGAGGTTTTTATTATGGGATGTAGCGATGGATGGTATGCTCAGCAGTCAGTAAGACTGAGAGCAAAGGCTACTGTTTGAGATAATCTAAGAATGGCATTAGAATATTCTGACCTAACAACTATATAAAGAAAAGAAAGGTCCATTATATATAGATGACAATCAAGGATCTCTAGAAAGTAAGAATAATTATTATTAGCAGAAAATAAACACAACAGGAATCAGATAGTGGTCTTATTTCAATATCTTGTGCAGAAGCTGTTGCCGAAAGATCAGCACCCCCGACCCTGATGAGCCAAATAACCCAGAGACAAGGTCTTGGAGCTTAGAAGAAAAGAGGCAGCTTTATTGCTTTGCCGGGCACAGGGGCCTCACAGCAGGCTGGTGCCTTCAAAACTGTGAGCCCACCTCAGGGATGGGGTGGGGTGGTTATACAGCCAGAGCTCAAACAATGAAGCATTGATAGCAATCAACAGAACCATTTTCTCATCAGAAGACAGAATGGCGTCATGATGCCTCCAGGCGACCAATTCTTTAGAGGCCAGGGGTTAGATCTCTTTATCTCGTAAGCACTCAAGGTGTGGTCTTCTTGGTAATTCAGGCTATTCTGTAAGATTACAGTTCTGTGACCTTCTCCCTGGAAATTGACGCAGAGACCAAGCATGATTATAGCTTTTGATTACTGGAATAAAGTAGAAACAGTAAGATCAATAGCTTTAGTTTTAACAATGGACCTGGAACTGTGAGTAGCAACTGGTCAGATCACTTGACCGTTTTAAGGGCAAGCATAAAAATAAGCAATCTGTTAGCCTAAGTGCGGCCATTTTATTACTCCTCCTTCAAAGCTGTCCATTGTCTGAAGTCATCTGCTTGTTCCAAACATATTAGGTCAAGTTTCTTCCTCTAAACATCAGCTGTGTCTCTAAGATTTCTGAGTATCCTCAATTTGGATCCTACTGGAGTAGGCTTCCAATTATGTGGGATTCTGAATTCTTTCTTTAATTGTTAAACATGAACACGAGCATTGACTCCTTGGCATTTCATTGCTGTACTTGTTATTAATAGTACCTGATAAGGTCTCTTCCAGTGAGGTCAAGAGCAGCAGTTTTCCTCTGATGTCTCTTCTAATAGATGAAATATCCTGGCAGGAGATCATAAAGAGGTGGTTTAGGAAAATGTCTTGGACAGGTGCCCTAAGCCATTGGTGAAAGAACTGGTTATAGTACAAGAGTCCCTTGCAATATTTTGCCACGTCACCATGCAGTAGGGTGGAGTCTAATATTGGAGGTAAAATCCCCAAAAGCATGGACCTTCATGTAAGCAATTTACAGGAGGATAACTGCTGTGGCCCTGAGGGAGTGGGTATAAGAGGCCATAAGAGCTAGTGAGAGTACCTTTGGCCAAAGGAGTCCAAACATTTCTAAAAGTTTTACTAATTTGAATTTAAGGATTGACATTAGTCTCTTCAACCTTTTCAGAAGATTGTGGGTAATAAGGACAATATGGTTTTTGAATAAGAGGTAATGTCTTACAGAACTCTTTCATAAGGGTTTCTGTTAAGTGTATGCCCCCAATCATTTGATATAAAAGCTGGGGTGTCCCAGGTTGAAAACACAAGTTGAAGCAGCTTTTTAGTGGTCACCAGGGCTATACGCGTCTCGGCAAGGAAATGCTTCAGCCCATCCTCAAAACAGATATGCAATAACTAAGATACACACAAATCTCGTAGAGGTTGGAAGCTGGACAAAATCCAGCTGAATGTGTTCAAAGTTTTATTGAGGCTTTGAGTCCTGACCATTTCCCATCTTTACAAGTTTTTCCAGGGTTAAGGTTTTAACTTCAGGTGACACAGGTCCTGCAAATAACCTCAGCTGTTAAAGTTTTCACCAGTGTTGATTCAGAATAACAATCAGTTTGCCATGACGAGCAGTTTCATGGAGAAATTTAATATCCATTTGAAATGACCTGGTATCACCAAGCGGCTATATTGAGAGTCATCATTTGAGTGAAGGGTACAACCAAATTTTTTTTTTTCTTTCTTCCTTTTCAAACTCAGGGGCTAAATGCTGATATTTTTAATGGCCTCTCTGAATCCCTCCTTAGCTTTATCCTTTGCGGGTTTAGATAGGATTACAATTTGCTTAAGGCAGCTCATTTAGCATAATGATCAGCTGAAGCATTTCCTTTGGCTCCACATTGTCTCTCTTCACATGGACCTCAGTCTTGCTAATAGCCATCTCTCTGGGAAGTAGGAGTGCATGGAAAAATCCCTCAACTTGTTGTCTGTTTTTAGGAGAATCCCAGCAGAGATGAGAAACCACTTTATGACAAAAGTATCCTAAAGTCATGGAGTACTCCAAAAACACATCTGCTTTTTGTATGTAGGTTTATCCTCTGATCTTTAGTTAGTTGAGAAGCTCCAGTAATGCAGTAAGTTCTTCTCTCGGATGATTTTACTTCAAGCAGAAGACTGTATTCTAAACTATCTTCTTAAATTATTGATAGCAATTTCTGTTTAATAATCTCAGTTTTGAGGTATGATCCGTCAACCATAATATTAGGTCAGGTTTCGCAATAGAATCTCTAAAACATTTAAGTGAGATTCAGAAAGTTTTCTAACTGAAGTAAGACAATCATAATTACGCATTTCTTTTAGGAGGGGCAGGAGAGTGGCCGGATTCAGGTTTTTGCACGCGTGAATGGTAGTGTGAGAGGGAGAGAGTAACGGTCTCATCAGAGGTCATCCAGTTGGCTGAAAAGTGTTGCATGTTCTCAGCCAGTAATAATGTCTATCCTGCTTGAGGAATCATGGGGTTAAGCAAAGAGCCTAGAACTAGTTCAGCAGAAGCATCAACAAATTTTTCAGTGGCACCTATTTCCCTGAGTCAGAGGGTCAAAGGAGATAAGCTTTTGCAAGGTCAAGAGTGAGGCTATAGTTAAATAAGCAAACAAACAAATAAATAAATAAATGGTTTTTGTTGATTTGCATGAAGTTGAGTTAAAATTCTAAGGGCTTGTCCATATTGCTCATGCACAATTAGATGAAGTGGCCTTTTACAGTTTCGGGTGCCTAGGGGAAAAACCTGAAGAGCCGCCTTTAGGTTACAGGAGGTCTGTTCATGTTTGGGTGTCCAGATCACTGGGTCTTTTTCTAAAGACTTTATCCATAAAGAAGTGTTACAATCACTGAAGAACTTGTCACCCATTGTCTGCTGTATCTAGTTAAACCGAGAAAGCCTCTCAGTTGTCACCCTGAAAGAGCTCTAGGGTAACATCTTGAACGAGTTCTACGATAAGTCTTCAATCTACCGGGAGAGAATGGTTTCTCTCCTTAGATAGAGCATGTTTTGGACTGTGTTGTGGAATATTTGTAATTTATTTTTTGAAACACCATGTCTCTTTTCTGCTAAGGCTGAGAGTAAGTGCTAAATTAAACCTCTTTGACAAACTTCCTTATTCTCAGAACAAGGTAGAAAATCATCTAAATGTTAAATCAGAACTGATTCACAAGGGAAATTTAGATCTTATAAATCTTGAATAAAGAAGACCTGGGAAAAATTAGAAGGGGTTTCAGTGTACTCTTCAGACATGACTGTCCAGGGTATATTGTTGTCCTCCCCAGAAGAAGTTAAAAGGATATTGATTCTCTTGATCTAGAGACACACTGAAAAAGGCAAGCAAAGTGAAGCAAGTAG